TGGTCCCTAACCCAGTCCTCATCAACCAAGAGGCTGGACTCGCAGAGCACTAGTAACCCTGTAATTTTGCTTCTTCCTGAAAAATTCTCTGTAAGTTATCTTACTAACAGCTAGGCTGTCCCATTTAAGAGTTTCATTAGTAAAAGAATTCTTGTCTTTTTTAATCTATTAGCTTGTAGTCTATTCTCCCAGTATTTTTTTTTTTTAATCTCTAGTTTTACATGTTCATGTGTATTGTTAAAACTTTCTGCTACATAATGGGTTTGATGGGTTTTTGTCAGCATAGTTGCAAAGGCTTTTTGGCTTTTTTTGTCATGCAGCCATATGTGTTAATAAGAAAACATTTACTGTATCTCAAGTTCATTTTGAAGGGATCATACATACTTTTTGGAAGGGCAGGTAGTGATAGAACAAGGGGTAATGGCTTTAAACTGGAACAGGGTAGGTTTGGATTAGATATTAGGAAGAAATCCTTCACTGCGAGGGTGGTGAGACACTGGAACAGGTTGCCCAAGGAAGTTGTGGATGCCCCCTCCCTGGAAGTGTTCAAGGCCAGGTTGGATGAGGCTTTGAGCAACCTGGTCTAGTGGGGGGTGTCCCTGCTGATGGCAGGGGTGTTGGAACTAGATGATCTTTGAGGTCCCTTCCAACCCAAACCATTCTATGATTCTGTGATACATAGTAAAGAATGAGGGCTAAAATGCACCTTCCTCTATGCGGGCATATTAGCTAGCTGTCCTTGAGTGGTAAAGTTGCAGCCAGTCTCAATAGCAAGCAGCAAGTTTTGCTTCAGTAAAAAGTGAAGACAGTTATCACTGCTAGTAGAAACTGCAGTAACCAATAGGTGAGGAGGTGATTGCCATGTCCTCACATGGGGCAGACATGTCTACTCACTGGAAGGAGGTTTATTGCACTCTTTTCAAGATGAAATGTAATTGCTGCAGATATAAGTCTTGCATCTTGTCAGCCCGCTGTCTCTGTCAACGCATGCTAACGGCTACCACTGCCCATCCACTGACCCTGGGGAGCCTTTGGAGCTTAAAGGTATCTGTTCATTTTCTGCACATTTCTAGCTTTAATATCAATCATTGAATTTGGTCTCAGGTGGAACAAACATTAACTTGTGGGTTTGACAATCTACGCTAGAAAAAGGTTTTAGGAACTATTTGTTTCCTGTTTGAGCTGCTTGCTTTTCTAGAAATAGAAAAATGATCCATAGATTTACAAATCCCATCTGAGTAAGAGCTGGCAGCATTTCAGAATTCAGGTTTTACTTGTTTCTTTGTGTATTTGCTTGCTTTCCTACATCTGAAAACGCTTCTTCCTGGATTCTGGGCTAGTTTATCACATTCGAATCACATTCCCCAGTAGCAATACCAGTTGTTAGAACTGGGTCTCACAGTAACAAGCAGAAATAGAAGCTCTAGAAAGCTCTGTGTGCAGAAGAAGCTTCTTAAGAGTCCAAGCCATTCTTAAAAGCTGTGTGATTTTCCATTTCCTAATGTTTGCGTTCCCAGAGCAGCAACTAACAACTACTGGTAATACAACTAATGGTTGTGATAAATACAACCAATCATTTCTTTTGAGTTTTTTCAATAATGCGTTTAATTAGCTTGGGGTTTGGGGGGTTGATTTCTTTTTCTTATTTTCCTTTATTTTTCATCTGCTGGTTGCAGTATGTTGTTGATTTTTTTTTTTTTTCACAGCAGAAATCTTTGATACCTACTACTATATTGTGTAGCTAATGGGCTATGCTGCAGGCTTACTATTAGTCAGCACAGTACCTTCTCTTCAGACCTTCTACTCCCTCAAGGGGCAACTGCTGAGAAGAACCTTCCTACCTATTGTGCATTCATCTGTTAAGTTGATGCTTAGAACATTTATAGGCTCTTTCTCTCCCTACCACGAATCCCTGGAATCAAATTGTTCAGTTCTTCATGACAATAAATCCTCCAACCCTATGTAGCTTCTAATGCTTTCAATTCTGGCTGGAGACAAGTAATAATTTATTCATATGTCAGAAAATAATTTGAAAAATGTCAAGAAGAAAAGAAAAATGGGGTAGAAAAGAATTACTTTCTGAGACTTTAAGGTGGGTTTTCACGTGTTTTTTTTTCCTTTCAGTGTCCTGAACGTGAAAGAAGTTTAGAGGTTAGATAAAAGAATTGGAGAGAAAAAGCAAGACTTGAGAATACTTGAGGAGAGCAGAAAATTCTGTCAAGCACTTTTAATTATGATTGTCTTGTAATTTGGATAGTAAGATGGAGAAGAGCATACTCAGTACTGTAGAATGGGACCCTTCTTTTAAAAGATCATTTGGAATCAAGCTTAAAAGATTTGTCAGAGCTCAGCTCTTTCTCTGGCCTGAAAAATGCTATTCATTTTTCTGAAGATTTATTTTTCTCATTTTTTTTTTCTTTATAGAAAATTTAAAAATCAAAATCTTTAGGAAAAAATTGGTGTTTAGGATCTCTTCTCAGTTGTAATTTGTGATCTCAGGATCTGAAATGTAGGCATCTTTAAATCACAACACAAATTATGCTGTTTGTAGAAAAAAAAAAAAAAAAAAGATCAGGAATAACTTGTTGCAGGTTATCCCAGAGCTGTCAAAAAGAAATGGCTGTTACAAAGTAGGACCCAACCATCTTGTATCTCAAGTGAATCTGTAGAAAAGAAAACTGAAATAATACATAAACAAACTGCTACATTTCCTCTCAGTTTCTCAGAGATTCTGGTTTCATGTGAGGGGAAAAGAAAAGGGCTGTGTAGACAGAGGATCTTTTCTCACCTTTCCTGCAGCTTTACCAAAAACATATTCAGATGAACAATCTTGAAACATCACATAATGCTATTGTGACAGAATGCAGTGGAGCCATTTAGAGTTCTCCATTAAACCAGGTTGTGAATCAGGACTCTTGAAGCAATAGTGTTGTTATTTTTTGTCCTTGATCAAGCTTAAATAAAGTTAATAATGTGTCACGAACTTGCAGACTCTTTCCAGGACACTACTCTGTGGAAAACTGCCTTTCCTGATCCTATTTTTAGCTATGTGCCCTCAAAGATGATAGTAGTAGTAATTTTGCTGAATATTTGTTTGAGATTTGAGAGGAAGGAAGGAGCTATACAGAGACAGTATTTTCCTGCAGTACGTAAAATAGTCTCCTTCCTTTTACCAGTAGGAGAGGTTGGCCCACAACATTTCTAATGCTGTTGTGACTTAAGTTGCTCAAAAAGCTATGTTGAATCCTACATTATTAAAACACAAGCAAGCTAAACTTTCAGTATAATGTATATTACTTATCTTACTGTGACATTCAGAATTGCACTTAGACCATATCTGTATTACGTATCCAGGACACCTATATAGAAGTAAAATACTTATTGTAAATTTCCATATGATGGAGAGTGATTTAACTCTTGCTATACTTCAGAGTGAAATTTCACAAAAGTATCAACTGTTCTGTGATGTAAATTAAAAGAAAAATAAGTTGTCCAGTTTTGCAGCCACAACATCAGCTTGGATTTGGTAATTTCAGAAACTGTGGTTTCAGATTCTGCTGTTATTTCTACTTTGAGGCCTTCTGACATTTCTTGTGTTCTAACAGTCATAGCTTCCTGTTGTTTTAGATGGCTTATTCTCCTCTTATATGAACTACCAAGGCAATTAAAAGAGAAGTTGAGTGACTGTATGGAAACCTGTGAAACTAACTATATATGCAACATTTTTAAAAGTAGAGAAAGGGAGAGGGGAGAATACATAAGTTCTTTAAATGCTCTATGCAAATTATGGATGGTAAAATTATCATTTGAAATTGCTGAAAATAAAAGTAAATTTTAAAAATTCAAAAGTTTCAGACTATTACCATCCCTTTTCTTAAACCTGAGTTCTAAGTAAGTTAGATCATAAGTGTGATTTTATTTGTTTAGTGAGTTGGTTTTTACTTGCCTGTATTATCATAGAATCACAAAGTCATAGAATCACAGAATGGTTTGGATTGGAAGGGCCCTTCAAAGATCATCTAGGCCAACCCCCCCCCCCCACCATGAAAATATAGTAATAATATATTATTACATTTTTCACTAAGTATTCAGTTTTCAGAATGAAAATTTTTGTTTTCAAGGGGAGCTCAAAGTACCAAAACATGGGTGCAAAACTACCCAAATCGGTCAGTGTACAGTTTTGTAATGCTTTAAGAGTGTTGATTTCTTCACTAGAGGAACATTTAGGCCAATACATTATCCACCTGTCCTCCAATTAGCTGATTTAAGGCATTCCTCTTAATAAGCCACTAACTGCTTACTGCAATGTGGCAGTTCAGTAATGGATTCAGTACGGATGTTAAGTTTATAGTACCTGATAGTATTTTACATTTGTTTATTCTTATTGGCTCAGAGATTCCAAAGCAGGGGTTTAAAACTGGAGTGGCACACCAAACATCATGGGTAAGACATGTAGGCTAGAAACAGACAGGACCAGGCATATGCAAAGTGATATGGTTGTTCTCAACATTTTACATTTCTGTAACATTCCCTATGGGATGGTACCCAGCTTTAGCGCGATGCTGGAGGAAGCCCTGTGTGTTCATCTTACAAAAGCACATAGGCTTTTGGGGAAAGCACTGCAGAGGACATCACTGCCAAGGCATGACAGGATTCTTTACCACTTTCCCCACTGTTTTTGCAAAGTGATATACTGCAGCAAAAAACTGTAACTTCTTGTCTCACTTCAACAAGTACAGTTTAGGAGCTGGGGTAATTTGAAGAATAATGTATACTAAGAAAAATATTAGAAACTAGGAAAGGCCACATAGTCCATTGAGGCTCATTTCATTCCAAATACACCTTCCCTAGGTTATCATCCAATTGTTAAAAGAAAGAGTAATGTTATCAATTTTTTATAATTCCACTTCTGGGTATTACAGTGATAAATACCTAAATGCTGGAGAGCTAACTGTCTTTCAGAGGACTATTTCGGGGGAAAAATACTTAAATGCAGATAGGTGGGATGACAGGAAAAAAATTGACCCTCGATGAAAAATATGATGATAGTGATATGAATATATGCGTACAGCCATGGTTTCTCAAAGTCCCCCAGAGACAAGCTTCCAATCATGAGACTTTCAGAAAGTAACCTTTCCTTTGATTTATTGTTTCAGGACCAATGCAGGAGACAATATATGACTTTTGGAGAATGGTATGGCATGAAAACACAGCCAGCGTAATCATGGTCACTAATCTTGTAGAAGTGGGAAGGGTAAGTGATTTTTGTACTTAAAAAGATGAAAGACTTCCAAGGTGTTTGCTTTTGGAAATTAAATAGCAGACCAACACGATGCTTATATACTGAGTACAGCACATAAAATATTTATAACTGCCTCTGCTAAGAGGTTTGTTATCAATTATTTTTAAACATGCCTTGGATATTTGGATTTGATAACATTAGCACAATGAAAAAGCAACTGATAAAGCTGCATTCTGTACAGCACAGCCTGCAAAGGCTGCCAAAGAGGGAAAGCGTCATGTCTTTGTATATATCTCAGACATACCATTTCTAGTAAGGGAAACCAGGGAATTGGTTACAGACAAGGTATGGAATAATCTTCTTTTTAAGGGAAGCTGAGAGGGAGTAATTCTGAAACAGATTACTGAGCAAAGTAGTTAAACTATAAAATTGCACCTTCTTCATAATTTATTATTCTAAATCAACCTGGTTTGTTTGGGTTTTCCTTCCTTTAAGTGTTCTGGACTAAAACAGAAAGAATTAACTTTACTTATTTGTACACTAAATTTGTTGACAGTGAGGTCTGAGTAGTAAGGAAAGCTTGAGTTACCTGGTTGATACTATGTACTTTTCTTTCTTTGCTTGATAACTTCTAAAGCAGTCCTCCTACTCAAGTCATTATGAATAATTTTGTTTTCAACAAGTATTGAATGGAACCATTTTCTTTGTTTCTCACAACCATCAATAACTGAGTCTTTTAATTTACTGCTTTGTCTGTGCACTGGTGTCTTAGTTCTCATCTCGGATGTTGTTTTCAGGAAAATTTGCTTGAGAGCTGGGCATATAGCTTTCGTTTGGAATGAAAAAAACCCACTGCTTTTATTACAACTGCTGCAATTATTGTAAGTGGGAGTGTTGAAATAAGAAGTCAAGTGCACATATCTGGTTGTGAGCCACGTGGTTTTAAGAGATGTATTTAATTTCACACTGGTGGAGTGGCTGATACCCCTCTGCCCTGTGGCAGTAGGATGAGGAGAGAGAGCACTGTTTAGCTGCTATGAGTCAAAGTGTCAAAGTCAGATCTTACCTCCTTTTTAGCAAGCCCAGTTTCACAAACTCAGTTTATTCTTCCTGATGTCATTTGTCAATGGTTAATGTAATCCTAATGTAAACCAATTTGTCAATGGTTAATGTTTAGATATCTGTGTGCCCAAGCCTGCTAACAGATCAGGTGTCAGTATTATTTTTAGATACAAAAAAGATGGGATTTGTGAATGCAATCAACACCTGCTGCAGGAGCACATGTACAACTAATTGCAGAAACAAAAAAGGATCGTGGAGGCCACTTTAAAATTTCAGTCCCTTGAGTGAGGAAGGAGGTAGAAATAGTTGGATGATCACGTATCAATTCAAAATGGATAGATTTGTAAGAATAGGAAGCTCTCCAGCAAACCTCTTTGTTAAAGCTTTATACATACATTCATAAGTACCCAAGCACACAACTTAAAAAGGGATGTTTTCAGGGTATGGATGAACAAGCCTTCGAACAAAAATAGCATACAACATGAAACCACATACTGTCTTCCTAACATCAGTATTTGAAAGCATCACTTAGAGTGAACTGTCAGGTGTCAGCCAGGGAGACACCAGTCTTGGCGCCAATGTTGGCAGCCTCAACTCACAACGTTTAGGTACACAGCACATTCCCTTAACAGCAAGCAACAGTTTGTGCCACCGTGGAGATTTCTTCAGGGTGCAGGAGTCCTAGTGGGAGACAGATATGCAGCTTTGTTGTTTCTGGCAGTGGTATAAATTACTTTGTTCTCACTTTCTCTGGAGGCCATCATAGGTGATATTAGAGAGCAGAAATTGAAATGAGCTTTTAATGGAAATGAGATTGTATGAGCCACAGAACAATGCAGTCACTTCTCCATTGGTGCTTCTGTCCTGCTCCCAGAGCTGGAACCATCAGCAGCAAGGAGGCATATTACAAACATACCATCTGTCCCACAACCCCTAACACAAGCTCTGTGCCACCTTGGTTAGTTATGATTTTAATAGACCTTTTGGTAGTATTCCTGCAGGGCGAACCTTATAACCTTCCCAACGTTGAGGTTTTCTATTGAAATTGCTATTGCTCCCTATTAAGATTTAGAGAGGTTTGTTATTTTTATTTTTTAACTCTCTTGTCCCATTGTAAGCTGAGGAGGAAAATTCCTTTATATTTGCAGGAAAGAGGGATATCTATTTAACATATTTGCCACACAGTGTATGTCCTTCATGAATTAATCATTAAGGGGGCGTATGTGTATTTGTTTACCAGGACTGGCTGGATAGTCATTAAATCAGTGCTAGGAACTTGCTTCTTGCCCTGGAGCATTATGCATCAGGATTGTTTTAATTGCGATGGAGGAATCACCATGAGGCTGTCCCTAATGCAAGCACCTGCTGCAAATGACTCAGTCCCCGCATTACCCTCCAGCAGGGTCCGGGTACATCTGCCAATATCTGTCATTATCTGAGGCACACTTGTCAAAACCATGCATCCCTTTAAGCTCTTGTGTGTTCCAGCAAGGGACCCTTGTCAGTGTTTCTGGCACCTGCAGACTGCTGTGCACCTGGTATTTAAATGGCACAGAAATGTGTTTTGATTGTTTTCTCTCTTTAATGAACCCACCTGAGGGACATTTGGCTCTTTTTCTAGTAGCCTGTTACTCAGTCACTCACATTTACACTGCTTGTGTGAAAATTCAGAACTGACTTGTGCTGTTATACTAATCCATCTGCCAGAAGTCTTATCACAAAATCTGCAGGGCTCCCTAAGGAGACTTTTGTACTGGTAATTTAAGCTAATGATTTCTAAACATATTTAGTGAGTTTTATGAAGACCTCATTAGAATGTGACTGTTTATTAAAAATCTAAATGAGGTCTCACAGTCATTTAGAAAAATCGTTGCTGAGTTGCATGAACAGTTCTTTGATAACGGATGATGAAGTGCTTTTTAGTTAAGATCGGCCTAGGTTGACTTAAGAACTTTTACAAAAAAAGTAAACAAATAAGCAGCCTTGAAAAAAAAGTCTCTGTCTTCTTCATGCTGAGGTCAACAACTTTCCACTCACAATGAAGTTCACAAAAACGGAATGACAAGTAATTAATGGTATAATATGCCTATTTTAGTGCAAGAATCACAATATTCCAGACCATCCGCTAACAGATAAAAGGCAAAATCAAGAGTCATAAAAATGTATCAGTATGACCACAAGCTATTTCAAAATAATGTCTTTTGAATTATATTAATGCAAGAGGCCTCCATGCTCATGTTTGTAAGTGGTAGAGCAACTGAAGATAGTAGTGTAATTTTAGACAACAACTTTTCCTGAGAGACTTAGCATAATCTAGTGAATTATTCTAGAAGAAACAAAACTTTTATCCCACCAGTGTAATGAGCGATCGGAAAATAAACACAAGAGAACATCTTGCTTACTCTGAGAGACTGCTTTGGAGTACAGGCTCCAAAAGACAGAGCTGGATCCTTCTGTGGAAAGCAATGGGAACTGGATCAAGGTCTTCATGTACTGGCCAAAGCCTTAGGTTGCTTCTTGAAGTGTTTCAATATTTGCACATGTTGAAACATTTCTTTCCTCTTTAAAGAGTTATGTTGGGAAGATTTAGAATATATTCAACTGTGCCATCTAGCTGTCGCCTCCATCTTTGCTCTTGTTGGGCTGGTATTAATACTTGGTTGGCAGAATCAAACTTGGCGTGTCGCATCGTTTGTCATTTGTCAGTAGTCACTTTCTCTCCCACTCCTTGTTTTTGCTTGAGGCAGAAGAAATTTAGTAATATCTGATTAATAAACAGTGAAATGCACCGATGAAATTCAGTGGAGGTGGCTGATACATAAAGTATGTATCAACGCGCTGTAAGGCGCTGTAAGGACTCATGATTGTCTATCATGCTTTGAATATAGCAAAGTATTTACAAAAAAATCACTAGAAATAATTATAAAAAATAAAATCTCACCCCAGGAGCGTAGTAATTACAGTAATTAGAGTTTTGCAATTATTAGCCAGAATTAGAAAACAGCTAGTGCTAATAGTGTTAATAAGCACACAAAAGACCCTTTTTTTTTTTGCAAGGAAGCAAGGTTGACTACAACAAAATGGATGTGACACATGGTGACACATGCAGGGGAATGAAAGTCAGCCATGGACTGGTAAATAGCCCCTGTGCTTGCATGGATGCCTTAGCATTACCAAAGCAGCCTCTCACTGCCATCTTATCTCTCAGGAGCGTTGTGCTTTCCTGATAGCTATCTCATGCTTCTCCTGGGTGATTTTTCCCTCCCAGGAGCTGGCAGGCCTGTATCTGCATAGGGAAAAAAGAGAACACAGTGGTGGCTTAGCTTTTCCTTTGCTTGTTTTACTGGACCTGCAGTTGACATGTTACATACATGGCTCTCTCATCTGCCTTGCTGCAGAGATGTTGATGACTGACTTTTCATGCTTAAAAGAGTTTTAGGGTCCACATGACAGTGAGGAGACCTATACAATGGTCTTCTGACAGAGAGGGAGTATCTCCTTGATGCTGTCTGGTTAAAAAGCATTCCCTGTTGTAAGATAAAATCTGTCAGAAAAGACTTATAGGCCCAGCCGTAGGCAGTCATATGTGCATGTGCTTGGGCCTTGGGTGCTCAGGTTGTGCAACCCTGGTCAGCATTCAAGAGACATTTCTAAAACAGATATAGATATGTTTCCTTAACAAACAAAACCCAGAACCAGATCTTCAGATCTACTTGATGATCTGTTGCTTTTATAGAGAGACATTTGATATCCAAGAAAAACTGCCGAATAAAGACTTGTCCAAAGGCTTCTTACTGAAAACATATTGCAAGAACTAAACAAAAACTTCATAGGAAATTTCAGCAACATAAAATGTGAAATTTTGAGTGGACTTGCCACTTATTCTTAGAATTAAAAAATGAATTTTTTGACAGAAAGCTGTTATGAGGCTTGCACTTATGCATTTTACA